CTCTCTCTCTCTCTCTCTCTCTCTCTCTCTCTCTCTGCGCCTCTCTTTCTCTTTTCCGTCGGCTACGATTAATGTGGAAAACGAGAAAAACGAAATTTTTAAAAACTGAAAAAAAAAAATTAATCGGAAATCGTTTCTCGGAAACAAACACCATCCATCCATCTTTTTTCTTTTCTTTTTTCACGCGATAAAACGCCCGAAACGTATGAAATCACGTATGAGCGCGTGAAAGCGACAAATAATGTTGGCGATGTTTACCCTCCCCCCTCACTCCTTCCCTCCCCACATTTTAATTTTTCATTTTTTTATTTTTACCAACGTTATAAATAATAATAATAATTTAACAATTGTCACGCTCACACTTAAAATCAAATGAAAAAAATTTTTTTTTTTTCTGCAAATAACTGAGCCAAATCTTAAATAATAATGATAATAATAATAACGGCACACATAATTTCTTCTGCTTTTTTTTCGTGAAATTATTACTAAACAAACAAAATATTCACGACGACGACGACAACAACAACAACTACAAACAAATAATTTAAAAAAACTTTAAAATCGTCATCGTCACCTTTTTACCATCATCATCATCATCGTCATCATCATCGTCATAAACATAATTTAAACGACTGCGAACGTCACCGATAATGATAATGATAATAATAATAATAATAACGCGACGACGCCATTTTTCTTTTTAAATAATAATAATTATTATTTTTATTTCTTCCTTTCTCTCTCTCTCTCTCTCGCTCAATATTCTCACATATCCGAAAGAAAGGACGAACGTATTAATAATAATTCTCGTTTGATGATGATAATAATGATGATGATAATGATAATATTTAACGATGAAAACAAGGCGTAAATTCAAAGCTTTGGCAAACCTTTTCTTTGTTTTTATTTCCGGACGAACGCGATGATTATGAAATTAATTGTAATTATTCTTACCTGAAACGAATAAAAAAAAAACGATACATAAATACATAAATAAATACATAAATTAATAAATAAATAAGTAAGTAAATAATTTTTTTCTTATCACACAAAAAAAAATTTTTTTAATTAAACGTTTTGTGATTACGTAGATTTATAATTAAAAAAAAAAAAATTACACAACATATACAAAAAAATATTTTTAATAAAAAAAAAATGGCGAACGGATTCGTTTGAGCGTGAGAAAAAAATTAATTTTACAAATTATTATTATTATTATTATTATTATTATTATTATTATTATTATTATTATTATTATTAATAGTAGTAATAATAATAATAATAATAATATTGTCGGAAGTTATAAAATTAATTAATTAATTTTTTTTTTTTTTTTATTAAAATTTTTCAAGATGGAAAGTTTCGCAAAAAAAAAAAAAAAACCGTTAAAAATCGTGCGGGTAAAAAATTTCAATTCGAACCTCTCCCCTCCTCCCACTCTCCTCCCCATCCTCCGATACCCATCTAACATTATTTCTCCTATTAATAATAATAATAATTAATTTTTTTCTACGACCCGCACACCCGATTTCGTTCTTTCGCTCGCTCGCTCGCTAGCTTCCCGACTGATTGATTGATTGATTGACTAATTAATAGATTCACGTTCGACGACCGGAATTTAAAACATTAATAATAATAATAATAATTTTAAAAAAATTTGAATTTCAACCATTTTTTTTCTTTTTTTTGTTGCCGATCATAAAAAATGAACTAAAAAAAAAAAAAGAAAAAAAAATGTCGGTGCGGGTACCTTCATTAAAATGACGGGGAGTGAATGAACTCTTTCTCTATCTATCTCTCTCTCTAACACACAGACAAACGCGCACACAAGGGAACGATATCGATAAAACAAACGTTTTAAAGTATAAGAACTCTCTCTCTCTCTCTCTCTCGTAATAATAATCGTCACGGTTTCGGAAAATGATGATTTCAAAATACTGAATGGAAGAAAGAGAGAGAGAGAGAGAGAGAGAGAGAGAGTGTGTGATAAAATTAGGTATTAACGAAGGTGAAAAAGGAAAAATTTACATAATTGTTCGAATAATAATAGTAGTAATAATAATGATAATAATAAAACTCGTGTAAATAATTAATGCAATTACGATACGATTATCATCATCATCATCATCATCATCATTATTATTATTACACCTTTGAATTTAGCATGTGACCGAAATTTCACAGTCACTCTCTCTCTCTCTTTCTTTTGATATCCACACTCGCGTTCAATTGCAACAAGAAACAACAATAACAACAACAACAACAAAAATAAAAGAATAATAATAAACAAATAATTTACTTTATTAAACGACGACGACGACAACAACAACAACAAACAACAACTGTGCGTAATTAATAACGGGTCGCGACCTTATATTGTCATCATAAAAAAAAAAAAAAAATGAAGAATCACATTTTGACGTAATAAATTTTTACGATTTCTTACTTTTTTTTTTTTTAAAAAAAAAAGGTGTTAATTTATTATTATTATTTTTTTTTTAAACATTAACGAAACAACAACAACAAACAAACAAACAAACAAACACAAAATTTCGATTTAAATTAACGAAACGGGGAAACTGTGACGCCTGAAAAAACAACAACAACAACTCGAATCCGATCCGATCCGACCGGAAAAAGAAAAATATAAGAAAATGACGTCACGCACAACAACAACAACAACAACAACGACAACACGATCAAACTCGACAAATTTCTTTGGAACAAACAAGAAAAAAAAAAGAAAGGAAAATCATGACTACAACAACGGGAATCCTGCTGAGAGGTCGCGACACCGCTCGTACGTTCTAGTTAATTAGGAAACTATATAATTCGTTTAAATGTTTCGCTTACGAGAATTTTAATTAATTACAACACAGTAATGGACACATTGAGGACGACAACAACAACAACAAACAAGAACAACAAACGTCTTTTCCTTTTCCATTTGCATTTGCACCACCACCACCACCACAATCGTTACAATCACCGATACCACCCACGAAGTATTTTTAAGTCCCGTTTCGAAAAATCGAAAGATTAAAGATTTAATGAATATTAATAATAATAATATTAATAATAATAATAATACATTTTTTTGTGCTACGAAAAAAGATAAAAAGGTCGAGGGCGCCATGTTTTTTTTTTTTTTTTTTGTCATTCAATGACGATTTTTTTTTGGTCGTGATGACGAGACCTTCGTCTCTTGACGACAAGAATTTGCCAAAAATAACAAAAAAAAAAAAACTTTCGTCAGTTTTTTGTTTAAAAAAAAAAAAAAAACATAATAATAATAATGATAATGATAATGATGATGATAGATGAATTAAAAGAATATGTTATTTCGCAAATGTGTCACGCGCGGTCGCGCACTCACTCACTTACGCACAAATAAGACAATCAATGTCACGAAAACGGCGAGAAAACAACAATCGATCGATCGATCGATCGATTGTTGTTTTCTCAATCAATTTTTTTCGATTTCGTCGACGGATTTTTTAAAAATGGGTGAGTACGAGATGGGGGCGGGAAGGAGAGACGGGAGGAGAGGCGGGGAAATTGCATACGACAGCAAAAAATTTACGTGAAAGATCTCCAACGCCACCGTCACCACTACCACCATCATTCTCGATTCTTCTCCCAAACAAAAACATTTTTAAACTAATCCAAAAGAGTAAGAGTGAGAGAGAGAGAGAGAAAAGTAATTCGCAAACGATTTTCCTTTTTCTTTTTTTACGATTGTAATTACGACAGCAAAAGCAAAAGAAAAAAAAAAACTAAAAATAAAAAAATTTTTATACATTTATTTATTCATCCTACGCAAACACAGCAACAACAACAACAACGACAAACGCTTCTGTTAAATGCCATTAAAACGTTTTTTTCTTTTTTTTCTTCTTTTTTTAAATACCAAAAACCTCTCGTGTGGCACATAAATAAAAAAAACGTGGCAATAGAAAAAGTAAAAAAAAAAAAAAAAAAAAAAAAAAACGAAGCAATTTAACAACGAAGGAAGGAAGGAAGGCAACAACGACTCTCGCGAGACCTTTTTTCCCTTTTTTTCCTTTTTTTTCTTTTTCCTTCCCATTTTTTTTCCGAAAAAAAAAAAAAATTTCTCGCGTGGAATTTTTTTCGTCGTGTCAATATAATGATTACGTGACGTAATGCCGTGGCACAAATCAAGTCCAAAAGATTAATCGTACAGATTTCATTTTTCCCTTTACGTCCGTCACCTCGACTCTAATTAATTAATTAATTTTTTTCCACTACCCCCTCCCCATTTTTCCGAATACAAAAAAAACGTGCGAGGGCCTCCCCTCCCCTCCCCCTGTGAAAACTTTCTTTCTTTTTTTAAATCGACGAGGATGATAATAATAATAATAATAGAAGTTTAAAAATGACATAATAACGTTTAAGAGAAACTTTATTTCCAACTTTCGTTTGTGGGTTTCTAAAACGTTCAAAAAGTTTATAAATAAACGAGTAAATACATAAATAATAATAATAATAATGATAATGACGACGTTGGTGATGATGATGATGATGATAATAATAAAAACAAACCAACGAAAAAAATTAAATAAAAAAAAATCAACGAAATAGTTTAGATTATTTTGGCAATTCTTAAACCCCCCAACTCTCTCTCTTTCTTTCTTTCTCTCTCCTATCTCTCTGTCTTTGTCTCTCTCTATCTCTCTCTCTCTCTCTCCTTCCTCGGCTTCAATATACATTTATAGCCACTTCACGTGAACGTTCTAGAAATAATTTTTTATCCTTTAAATTTGAACAACGAAAAACTTTTATTTTTTTTTTTTTATTTTTTTACAATTATTTTTGCGTTACGAAATTTTTTTTTTTCTACGGATCCCCAATAATAATAATAATAATAATAATAATAATAATGATGATGATGATAATGATAATAATAATAATTGAAAGCAATTCAGCTTTCCCTTCGCGTGCCAAAAAAAGTAAAAAAAGTAAATAAAAAAAAAATTCTTTTAACGATTGGAATTTTTAAAAAAGTTTTTCCCGACGCCATTTTTTCGCGCTGTAAAAGGCCCGTTTCCCCCCTCCCCGCTGCTTCTTCCTTCTTCTGATCCCCCTACTCTTCCCCCACGATTTTCATTTTTGACATATTTTTCCGCGTCATTTTCCTTAATTTTTTCTTAAAAAAAAAAAAAACTTTTTCGACCTATTTTCAGAAAAACCCCTTTTTTCCGGATTTCCGGTTTACTTCAAAATAATAATAATAATAATAATAATAATAATATTAATAATATTAATAATAATAATATTAATTACTATGTCAAAAGCAGAAAATGGGAAAATCTATCAAAATTCATTCATTCAAAAAAAAAAAAAAAAAATTAAAATAATAACAATAATAATTGAGATGAAACGATGACGTACAAAAAAAAAATCCCGATACCGAACGGACGGTTTTGAGGGGGGAAGGGTAGACGGGGAGAGAAGCGGAGGAGGGAGAGGGGGAGCAAAACGAATTTAAAAAAATTCCTTTCCTTTTTTACCCTGCGAATCGGTTTCGTTCAGTGCAAAGCGACAGGAAACTTTTTTATTATCATTTTCAATTTTCGCGAAAGACATTAAAACTCTGCGTGTATAAAAAACGTTTAACCTTCCATTTCATATTATTACAACTACCCCCACCCCCACCATCGTCACCATCATCATCATCATCATCATCATCAAAAAAAAAAAAAACTTCAATTTGGAAAACCTTTCGAATTCTTTTTCTTCTCTTACAACTCGAAAAAACAAAAAAGAGAAAAGTTTTTTTTTTTTTCATTTTCTTTCTTTATTTTTTATTTTTTGCGTGTTTACAACACGAACAACAACAACAACAACAACAACAAACCCGTTTAGAAGATAAAACAAGGAATAAGAACCAAAACGCGAACCAGGTGCTTTACCGGGATAAATAAATAAATTAAAAAAAGAAGGAAAAGAAATTAAAAAAGTTTTATTAAAACTTTTTTCTTTTTTTTTGTTGTTGTAAAAAAAGGTTTCACGCGTGAGAAGGTTGCCAACCACGAGCCCCCCCCCCTATCTCCCCTTCTTTTCCACCTCATTTCGCACCTGCTACCTCCCCGTATCGCACACCATTCCTTCTTCTCCCTTTTCCCAAAAAGCCTAATAAACTACGTTGAAAAATTGTTGAAAAAAAAAAAAAAAAAAACGATTTCCGGTTTCATTTCCTTGCATTTTCCCTATCTCTGTCTCTCTCTCTCTCACTCCCCCCTCTCTCTATTGTCACCCTGAAAATTTTCTTAATGACCGACACGAACGTTAATCGCGTTAATAAATTCCACACATCCCCCCTACGAATTCCACCCCCACACACACACAAACGAAAAAAAAAAAAAAAATGTAAAAGTGAAAATTCCACATCGAAACGATCAAACAACTCATTCAACGCCCTTCCCCTCTCCTTCTCCTCCCCCTCGGCTTCCTTCCATTAAGTCAAGCAGCCATTAAACCCGGCCTTTAACGACCGTCATCAACTATTTAATATGAATTCCAAAGGAAAAAAAAAAAAAAAAAAAAAAAATGAATTCGACGACGTCGACGACGACGACGACGACGAAGACGACTATAATAATAATAATAATGATGATGATGATGATGACGATGATGAATTTTAAACTTGAAAAAATTTAAAGTGAAAATACGTGTTTTGTCTTTTCCTGTTTTTCTCTTTATCACCTTTTTCATCATCATCATTATTTACCGAAATAACCTATTTTTTCCTTCTCCCCTCTCCCTTTCCCCTCCCCCTTCCGTCAACTAATCGATAATACTAAAAAGTGTCACTCTCCGTGTGACGTCACACAAAATGACGCCGAATATCGAGCATGGCAATCAACAGACTCTTCTCCCTCTCTCCCTCTCTCTCTCTCGCTGCCCCTACACGCACTATTTACTTTCCAACATGCGGTAGTAGTCATAATAATAATAATAATGATAATAATAATGATAATAGACATTCTTGGATTTTTTTTTCTAATTCATTTACACGGGATGGTTTCGTTCGTTCGATCGTTAAGGACATCAAGTGACCTTTGTTCGCACGCACTCACAAAACTACGACATTTCGATTAAAAAAAAAAACGACGACATTCATTTATTATTATTATTTTTCATTTTGAGTTTTATAAAACGAACGTCGCACGCGGCACCTGCACGAACGTCGGCGTTCGTGTGTACTGCAAACGTTTTTTTTTTTCCGTTAATTCCACGTCGGTTTATCCGTTTCCGATTTTACGATTTACCCAATTCTTTCCTTCCGTTTTTTTTTTTTTTTTTGTAAAGAATACGAAAAATTTCACGATGATGATGATGATGATAATAATAATGGTGTGATAAATCACAAGAGCGAGTAAACGAGAAAGAGAAAGAGAAAGAGGGGGGAAAGAGAGAAAGAGAGAGAAAAAATTTGCAACGAAAAAAAAAACACAATTTCTTTTATTTTTCCTATTTTTTTACATTTTGAATGAAAACCGTGACGTGGGAGGAGTAATATGAAAGAATGACGACGACGACGATGTTTTTTTTTTTTTTATTGATAAAACAATCAAAGCAAATTAACAAAATTGGCATTGAATGATGCTGCTGTCGCTGTCGCTGCTGCTGCCACTGTTGTTACAAATAAAAATAAACGCCTACCGATCATCATCGTGCGTTTTTCTGTTTTTTTTTTTTGTTTCCCTTTTTAATTTTTATTACCGCTCATTCTATTTTTTTTTGTTTTGTTGCGAGAACGAACGAACAAACAAACGAACAAACGAAAGCAGGCAACAAACAACCAACGGAACGACAAACTTTATCGTATTCGATTTCACGCGATATACAACCAAACGATAATTTGTAACTTTTCTTCTTTCTCTTTTTTTTTCTTTCTTTAGTTTATCGTTCTTTAAGAATTAAATTCCAGAGGTTGAAAACAATACAAAAAGTGGTAATAATAATGATGATGATGATGATAATGATAACAACACAACAACAACAACAAAACTCACTGGATGACGTTTTAATTCACCTGAAATCATTTCAATTGTTGTGAATTATCGCAATCGCAAATAAAATTCTATTCTTATTATTGTCCTTTTGTTTGTTTTTCTTTTTGCGCGTTAGTTACAACGACGACAACGACGACAACAACAAACAAACAAACAAACAAAAAAAAAAAAACAATACAAAACAATAATAACGACGTCAACATATACGTACGTCAAAAACGTTCGATATTCTCACGTCAAACTCGATTTAATTTAGAGAGAGAGAGAGAGAGGATGAAAACTTTAACTCAAACAAGATTTTTGCCGTGTAATTAACGGATTATCACAACACACACACCTGAACGAAATTTTGTTATCAGAAGGAAAGAGACAGAGAGAGGAAGGGTGAAAGAGAGAGAGAGGGGGGAAGAGGAGGAGAGACAATACAAATATTTTACTTTTCAATAATAATAATAGTAAGTAACGAAAGTGTCAACGAACTCTCGAAAGAAAGAAAAAAAAAAGAATCGTGTAATTAGAATAATTAATTAATTAAGCCTTTTCAAAAAAAAAAAAAATTCAAAAATTCAAAAATTACGTTTTTAACGAAAAAAAAAAAAAAATTCTAGAAAATTCTAGAAAATTCTAGAATAATCTTTTATTTATTTATTTATTTACATTTTTTTGCGTCGTTTCAAACAAACAAATACAAACAACGACGACGACGACGACGACAACAACAACAACAACAATGCAACTTGTTTTTTTTTCCTCATCTGGGTTTTCTTCGTCTTCTTCTTCGTCTTATTCTGGTTCCACGCCTTAAAATCTCAAAAAAAAAAAAATTCTTAAACGCTTTATCAGAGAGCTCGCATAATAATAATAATAACATTAATAATAATAATAATAATAATAATAATTTAACCCAACAATTTAAAACGGGGAATTTTTTTTTATTCGACGTCCTTGCTTTTGTTGTTCGAATATGGCGTCGTGTAATAACATAAAATACCTGTAGCATTTAGAATTTACCAAAAAGAGTGAGAGAGAGAGAGAGAGAGAATAGGGAGAAGGAGAGAGGTAGAGAGAGAGAGAGAGAGAAAAAAAAACTCGAATTCGAAATTGATCACCTTGAACAGCCTTCAAATTTAATAATTACGAAAAGAGAGGAAAAAAAAAAAATTGGTAATAAATATTACGGGGCGGTGGAGGTGGAGGCGGTAAAGGTGGCGGGGGGGCGGCGTGGTGAGGATGCAAAAAAAAAAAATTTACCGTAATAAACGCCGCCGCCTTCTATAGGTCGATTGCTCGTTCGTTTTTTCTTTCCCTGGTAGCCCGATTGTGGGTTTATCGTAGCGGGTAGCAAACGGGAGCGCAGGTATTTCGGCAAGAATGACCTCTGACCTCGATTTTTTTTTTTTTTTAAACGTTCTTTTAACACTTCGTCATTGTTTTTCGTTTTGAAAAATTATTTCGTAATAAAATTATTACTTGAGTAATAATTTACCCGTGTTTCGTTGTTTGTTGTTCCTCAACGTCTTTCTCTCTCTCCTTCTTCCACCCCCCCCTAATCAATCGTTCGTTCCAGATAAAAACTGGAGAGAGAAAAAAAAAGGAGGAGGATGAAAAGGGAGGGAGGGAGGGAGAAGGGGGCGGAAAAAAAATCAAGATGAGCGGCGCCGCATCCTCGTCATGCTGACGTAAAACCTCTTCTTTGTTTTTTTTAATATACCAAAGGTGATTATAGCCAGAGCCGCCGATTTATCCGCCTCCGCCATTTTCGCCGCCATTTCCGTCGCCATTTTTGCCGCCATTCAAGACAAAATTTAAAAAATTCCAACGACAAAACTCTCATCCATTTATTCTATTTTTTCTTTTTCTCCTGGAGTCGTCGTTCGACTTTTCATTCCCCCCCCTCCCTTTTTTCCATCTTAAATTTGAATGATAATAATAATAATAATAGTGATGATAATGATGATGATGATGATGATGATAATGATGATGATAAAAAATCACACCAGGCGACTCGAATATCATTCCCATTTTTACATCGTTTTTTATTCGCATCCATTCGCAACATTTTTTTTTGCCCCCCCCCTCTTTCGACGAATTTTTCGTCGTACCCCCCCTTCCAAAAAAAAAGTAAATTTAAATACGTATTTGCCTATAATAACGGATGCTCACGATTTTTTTCAATCGACGCAAAAAAAAAAAAAAAAAAAAAAAGAGTAGAGGCAACTCACTCGCTCGCTCGATCGCTCGCTCTCTTGTTCCAAGTAGGTCTCTGCCATCGAAAGTGGTCCTGACCTTGGACGAAATCAAATACCAATTTGCGTTGTTCAAGTATCGTTATTATCATTATCATTGGATATCGTAGCGGTGGTAATAATGGTAATGGTAATTGTAACAGTAACGAAACAATAAAAGAAACAATTTTTTTTTTCTTTTGCGTTTTTCAGGTACTGTTTTCCCTTTCTCTCTCTCTCTCTCTCTCTCTTCCCTCTCTCTTTCTCACTCTCGAGCACGCATTTTTTCACTCCGAGTAATAATTTCGCATTTAAAAAAAAACAAGAAAAGTTATTTTTATTT